CAGAAAAAAGGGGGGGGGGGGGGGGGGGAGACGGAGACTATTAATGTCACCTTTTAGCACTTACTCCCTTTTTAAAAAAGAATTACAGACTGATAAAGTAGCCAGGTTCATGAAGAACCAGAGTGACAGATCATTTCTCTAATTCATTTAGAAACAGATCACACAGATTTGTGTTTTACAGACAGGAAAGTGAAATTGCTCTACTTTTCTCTATAGGCATGGGGTTTTTTCCGTATTTGAGAAGGACAAGCTGCAACACTAAGAAGCTTCAGAGACCACAAAGGTCATCTAAACCAGATAAACCCAATACAAATGAGCCAGAATTTAAAGAGCTTAATAAACCAGCCTTCTAATTCCTAAAGCTGTTCACTGAAGACAAGCTTGCTCTCCTTTTTCTTATTGCCAATGAATCTGGTTATACTGCATAAAGCAACATACCTGCATGATAAAGACATGTTGTTTCCCTGAAAGCTATCTTCTAGCTGCAGTAGAGCACAAACACTGTGTTATCTCTGCAGCAGCAGGATTCAGGACCCCATTGTGTTAAGTCCTCTTTGAATGCAGGAGGACAAAGGCAATGCCAGCCCCACACTTCAATGAAATTACCTTTGACGACATAACGGATGTCTGAAGCTGAGGTTAAGGCTCCCTCCAGTGAAGCGAGCAGCATTTTCCCCAGGCTTCAGTGGTTAAAGGGGGCAGAGAAAGAACAAACATCTGATCATTTCACTCCCACATCTCTTTTGTAAGAGCTCTTCTGCCTCTGTAGAGATATGCATCCCTGTCACCTTGAGACAACACTGCAACAAAAGAAAGAGCCGGCTGTGGGTGCTCACACTAGCTAATACAATCAAACTCCTACCATGGACACGCCAGCGTATCAGTACTCGTTGTTTGCTCCAGAGACAGCATGCCTAGCTGCTCCCCAACAAGGAGCCTTTGCCTCTGTATCTATACCCTCCCTGTATGGGACAGGAGCCATATTTTTTTTATTCTTTGTACAGCACTTACCACCATTAGCCTTCTGTCCATGACCCACACTACAAGTAGGAAAAGGGGAATTGAGCAAGATTTGAACATTTCGTACATGATCCAGACTGCTGTATTGAAATAGCTGATGTAAAGTCTTCTACCCTTATTAGGTAAACTGTCTCCCCAAATGTCACTGTGTTGGCCTACTGTTTACTACTCATGGTCAGATTACCTGGTGGCTGATAAGTTAGCTGTAGAGGTGCTTGACCATTGCCCTCCCAACAGTGTCCAGGAAGGTTTATTTTCAGAGGTGCAATCTTGAAAATAGCTAGATGCAACAGGTCCAGTGTTGTGCTTGACCCGCTAATTGTTTTCCAGTGCTGGGAGGCTGTCATGAAGATACTGACTAGTTGTGTAGAGATCCAGCCTGGACACAGCACAATAAGCCACAGGTAGGAAGTTGTACCAGGACCAGACTGTCTCTGCACAGTTCTTGTGTCTATACTGCTCTGTCTGCTAGTATGTCTAGCTCTGCCAGCCGTTTGTTAACTCTGGATGGTGGAAATGCTGGCTGTACCATATATGCACAATATTTTTATTAAAAAGGAGCTGAATTTTTTTTTCCCCTAGAGGTTGCTTGATTATAGGTTAAGGAAGAGGTGCAGTAACTAACTAGTCGATACAAAAATCTGTTTACTTCCCAAGTGGGATTTGAACCCACATTTTCCAAAGGCAGTATCGCCCCTCTAATACTGCCAGATGGACAGCAATAGCCAGAGGAAACTAGACACAGCTCTCTCAAGAGGTCCATGGCCTGGCATACCCTGGGCATGAGGCTGATAACACCACAGTCTATACATTATTGCAAATTCATCAGTCCAGAGTCACACAGAGAAGGAGCCAGGGAGGTCACACTTATGAGAAACACAAATTGGCTCCACATCACAGGAAAAGAAGATTGAGCTTTCTGATGATGTGCCAGTACCATGCCTTTCTCAGATCACAAATCAAGGCCAGAGGCCATATTTATGTACAAACAACTGTCACTGGCATCTTTCTCAACCCTGAGGGTATTCAGATAATCTATAAAAATTTTCCCTGTACCATCAGACCAGAGGAACTCTCTCTTCTGGAAAACATATCTTCCCAGAATACTTCTACTCAAAATTTCAGCTGACATATCCACATATGCAATGTAGCTGCCAGAACACACCAACACAGATTTGATGATGATCTTGTAGCTGTCAGATGAAGGAATAAATACAATGGATGCATCACCAGGGAATGGCAGCAATGGAGGAAATGAAGCACAGATGTACATGAGAAAAATCAGGGTTTTAATGATAAATTAGTAGGTAAGAAAGATAATAAAGAATCAATGAGTTCTGTTTGATATATTTAGGATCTTTCCCACATCAGATTCTTAGTCTTCAATTAGATGGTAACTATCATGGGAGAAAAGTGTCAGCTTTACAGCTTAAGCACCCACCAGTAGCACTAGTCTGAAAGCAAAGTTTGGGATCTCATTCTTGGCAGCACTCATTAGCAAGTTTTTCTGATCAGCTAATGACTTACTTTCTCTCATTCAGAATAAGCATCTGTGGAGTACTCGACACAATCCTTGGAAGCAATGCATCACCACCCAGGTGTTCTATGGCACTTTTCAAGTCACACAACCAATTTTTGGTACAAGAATGGATTTATGTTTCTACTTCAGCCTTAATCTTCAGTGCTGACTCTACTTCCAGTCCACTCACAGGACTGCTAACGCAACTGATATGTTGCTGCTTTATGTTTCATTAAAACCAAAGTCACTCCATGTCCTGAAGTTGCTCACAAATTTAGAAGTTCACTTTTAAAAAAGCAAGCTGCTTTGTCACCTTGGCTGTGAAGCACGAACCCAGTTTACAGTTTTCTTTCACTTTAAAATTCCAGCCACTCTGTCATATAAATACAGTTTGATGGAGAAATCTCACCACCTTCATGGCAATCATCAAAAACCTGCAAAAGAAAGCCCTATGTCAGTAATTATATACAGCAAGCACGATCTCACTGGAAGTAACATGCTCACATGTCTTCTGCTCTCTGCTCCTTCCCCAGTAGAAAAGCAGTAGTCTAACAGAGGCCAAAATCTACTAAGTCCAGTGCCAGCTCTGAGGAACAGTAACATGAGCACAACAAAGCAAAACAGACCCCACTATAGTAAATGATGCAAATGGACACATTGGCAAGTTTTACCTACATATCAGTTTACAATCTAAGCAGGAGAGACCAAAGCTAGGCAGAAATAAGTTAGCTTGTTAAAAAACATAAATAGGCAAACTTGAGATCAGAAAATAGAATAATTTGAAACAGGCTAAACTTGACCACACCCTTTCACATACAGTCCAGTAAAGAAGCAGGATATAAGTGGGAAACATCCTGGTCAAAACTAAAAAACCTGCCTCTTACACCATAGCTAAGGCATCACAGATAACACTCATAAGCATAGTTGGTTTAGAAAGCCATGAGGATCACTCACAGGCATAACCTTGCAATGTACTGGCTGGCCATTTGCAGGATTGTATTCAAAATTTGCATGCACCCGCCTAGTCATATTCAGAATTAGTTACTTACAGGGCAGAGTCCACAGGGCGTCCTGACTAATCCAGTGGGTTGTATGAGAGGACTAACAGCTCTGTACAACTTCATCTGTCCATCCACACTGCCTACCGTCCCTTCCTTTGCAGCAATAATAGTCATCTCCACTTTTCCATCATATATTAGTGTATTTAAAATGGTTTCAATGTCTTCCATTGACAACTCAACCTAAGAAACAATTTTTAAAATAAATATTCGGAAAGACACACGCTAATAAGTCCTGCAAGGAGGAAATGAGCAAACACCATGAGAAACAAATCCTTAGAGTTCTAACGTAGCCCAGATAAAGGCACTGCTCTCGCTAGGCACCTCATGGGGTTGTACAGATAAAAAAAAGCAAAGCAAATACCAACACCTCCTACCTCCCAAACACTTCTGGATTACGCTAGCCTTGGCTTCCCCAAAAGAACTTCTCTACGCACCTCAAGTGTCTACATCATCCTAGCATGATACATTTCCAGTTTTACAGGAAAATAATCATGAAAGAAGAAAAAGACAAGACTGCTGAAGCTATGCCTGTTGATGGTGACCAATAATTGCAGGGGTTTTTTCCTTCTCTAAACCTGCTTGAAGTACATAGGCTAACTTGAGAGAAATTATGAAACATAAACCGGTTGAGACTGTTAAAGGAAAACTCACTCCAGTTTCCATCAACAAGGATGTGAATGCTAATTCTTTTATACATCTTTGAAAACCCACATGTACAAACTATCCTGAAATCTCATGCAGCACTGAGGACGCTCTTCAAAAAGCAATAAAGCAGCAAAGCCCACTTCCAGTACAGTAACTGTAGGATACTAAAGTACTAAACGGACCCTCGCCAAATTTGCAGGACCCAACTGTTGCAGCTAGTCATGCACTGAGAATTTTGAGAGTAGTAAGATGAATCTATTCTGACCTTACTGATGCCCAGTTCACAGATATATTTCCACACCTCATGGGATGAGGCAAATGAGCTGTTCCTCTGTATCATGGGGTTCTGTTTGCTCTCTCGAGCTGCTTCTGCCTAAGAAAAAGCAAAGATGAGTTATAGTCAGTACTCACTGCCATGAGTCTCCTTCGTGGTTCAGTTTCAGGCAGGCTGAAGTATAAAAGCTGATTTCCAAACCATTTCTGAAACATGTTTTTTATTTAGCACTTAAAGCTATGTCCTTAAGACTGATGCATGTGAGACAATGCAGTGCACAACCAAACATAGTTTTACACTAAATATGACATAGATTAATATGAAGGAATATTAGCATCTGGTGTTTTTTGACACAAAAGAAGTTTCTGCTCTATCTAGAGCCAGTTAAAATACATTTTAATGAAATAGAGAAATGCTGCAATCTGCATAGGACTTATTTAATGGACAGCAGGCTTCTCCTGAAGTTATACTAGAGAAAATTGTCTTTTAGGCAGAGCTGACTGACTATTGCCTTCCACCCTCACAGAAATTAGGAGATCTGCAGGGAAAACAGTGACTTTTGCTAGGTTTTTTCATCCTGTGTTCTTTGCTGCCTAGTTTGTCATTGGACCTTGGAGACGGAAGGCTTCACTCCCTGTACAGGGTGCGAAAATATGCATTATTAAAATGCAACACCATCACACTTGCTGTGACAAATACCATCCAGTACAAATTTGCCAATCCAATTATAACAATTGCCAACACTTAGAGAAAACACTATGGAAAACTTAAGCCTTGCCTGTCACTGGTTTTATAAAGAAAATAATTACTTGCACAAAACAAATAGAAGGTGACTTTAGTAGTCGCACTCACCTTACTCTGCAGAAATTTAAAACACTGTTGATTTAACACCTCCACAAATTCAGACTCAAAGTCTTGGTCACTGTACCAAGCCCCACCAGTCACTGACCGGTCAGGCTGCAGGTTATATAGCATATACACCTTCTTCTTGGATGCCTGTTAGAGAAAAGTGCACAGCTCTTAACAGCTGAAAGTCTTCCTTAAGAAAGGAAGATTTAAGAAGATATCTGCAAAAGAGATAGTTTATTACTCCTAAAAGCTAGGGCACAGTAATCCAGCTGACTCAAGCTATCCTTAACATCTTTGACCCTCAGGTAACATGGAGATAAAGAGAAGATCAATACATTTGGATTCCTAATCATTTTATAACATAGTGTTAGAAGAGAGAATCCTACTAACAACGTGCACAC